GCACCGCCTCTCTCTTCCCTCCCTCCATTCCCCAGTCTCCTGCAGACACAAGAACTGCGCGGCGGCGGCGTGATTACAAACCGGACGTCTGAAGGTCAACCGACCGCAGAGTCGATGTGGGTCCTTGTCCCCCGTGGCTGAGTGCCGCCACCGTGCTTCTTTATTCGTCTTTTTTGCCCTTGTGCATGCCGTGCGCGCATGATGCCGCTCTTTGTTCTGCAATGCCGACCCACGTGAGCGAGAAACGACGCTTTGACTACTGGCAACTGACGCACTCACCGCCCCTTTTCTGCGCCACCACCACCACCACGTTCACGGACGCGCTCGATGGCTGGCGGTTGCAACAATGCCACGTGTATCTGCCTCGGCTTTTGTGTGTTGTCCACGGCATCGGGGCCGTCATGTGTTGGAGGCATTTGGTGAGAAGGGCGGTGCCAATGGTCATTTGCCTCTTTGCCGGGGTCCCGCCACTCTGCACGGCGGTTGTGTGGAGTTGCGCGGGCGGTGGGAGGCCGATGGCATCACTGGGCTGACTGCGTCTGCGCGTCTTTGTGTCGCTGGCTGTGATGTGATGTGGAATGTCTGTGGCCGGATGCCGCTGCGTGCTGCTGTGTCTGGCTACTGTTGTTGCTGCCTCTTTCTTGTTTTACCTTGCAGATAGAGATACTGTGGCTTGACCACCACAACTATCGTTTCAAGGTTTTAGTAATTACTCGCAGCAGTAGGATTAGTATTAGTAGAAGTAGTAGTGGGATAACGATCTGGCGGAATCGGGTCACTGTATTTGAAATCTGTAGGAAGGGATTTGCGGAGCAGGAGGCACGGTCGACGAGGCGAGTGCGACACACCACGACAGCCCTGTTGATACCTGTTTGGGTTGGTGGATGTGGTCTGCGGCGGGTGCGTGTCCGCACAGCCGGCACCGCGTGCGGCGCAGGGCCATTGCGGCTGTGCGTGTGGCGGTGCTGCTTTTGGTGTTGGCGCTGGTGTCGTTGGCGGCGTGGATGCCCGCGGTGGATGCGGTGCCTTTGCGACTGCGGGGCGGCACGGTGGAGAGAGCCATCACGGTGGGCCGCGCTGTGGACACGGTGCTGATGGACGGCGTGTGCATCACGAACGGCGTGGCTGTGGTGCTCGACGTTGCGGCGATGCTTCCCGGCGCGCTGCGCATCGAATTGAGGGACTGCGTGTGCGACGGCGGTGCGCAGATATACGTGCGGGGCTACAGCGGCGAGCCGGCGACTGAGCGGAGCCTGGAGGTGAGCGTGAGCGGGCTGTCCGGGAGCTACTGCTCGCTCGTGTTTGTGCACAACCTGCCGGCACACACGAACGTGACGGTCCGTGACTCGACGATTGTGACGCCGGGGCCGATGCGCTACTCCCAACTGAGCGGGCTGACGGACGCGGTGGCGTCGCCGCTTGTGCTGCACGCGACGTCGCTGTTGCAGACGCAGCTGCGTGTGAGCAACACTGTGCTGAGGTCGTCGCAGGCGGGCGGGTCGGCGGTGTACGTTGGCGGCGGTGTGGAACTGCTGTCGAGCGCTGTGGTGCTTGACGGCGTGTCGCTGGAGGCGTCGGGCGGTCCGACCGCGTCCGCGATGCATGTGTCGTCCTCGTCGCGTCTCAGTCTGCGTAACCACTCGGTGTTCTCCGTGACGAACGTGTCGGTTGTGAGCAGCGGCGGCGGCATTGTGCTTGGCGAGCGCCTCGCGGTGTTTGAGTCTGTGCTGCGCTTCGTGGGCGTTGAGGGGTCTGTCGCGTCGTCCTCGTTGGTACGCTGCGACGGTGGGACGGTCGGTGCCGGCGGGTGGCTGGACATGCACGAAGTGTGGGCAGTGGGCGAGGCGTCGACTGTGGCGTCGCTGTCAGGGGTGACGCTGGGCGGCGGCGCCGTGTCGATTGCTCGCTGCGCTGCCACCGGCGCGACGCTTGTCTCCGGGCCGACGATCACGAGCGGCGCTGTGTCCGTGCAGTGCAACCGTGCCGGCGGCCGCGTGCTGCAGAGCAGCGGCGACTACCGCCTGGCCGGACTGCCCTCCGTGAGCGTGGTGCCGTGCGACGGCTGTGCGGCCGCGCTGGCGTGCTTCGATGCGCTGACGGCGTCGTTCTCCGAGTGCGTGTGCAACTGTCGTGCCGGCGGTGTGGGCGAGGCGTGCCTGCCGTTCGACGTGCCGGCTGCGAGGGCCGGCGGCGGCGGTGGCGGTGCGCAGGACTGCGTGACTGGCGTGACGCTGACGGAGTCCGTGACGGTTGGCGGCGGTCAGGCGACGGCGTGCTTCGACTCGGTGGTGTTCAGCGGACCGATCACTGTGGCGGTGGACCTGCGCTCGATGGACGTGTTCGCTGACGCGCTGAACGTGACGCTGCGCCACTGTGTGCTTGTGGGCGGCGCGCAGCTGCGGATTGGCGGCCTCAGCGAGAGCACAGCGCACCTGGTGCCGCACGCCCTCGTCAACATGACGAATGTGACTTCACTGGAGGGCACGATCGTGCTGCAGGGCGCGATGCCGCTGAACTCGAGTGTGCTGCTGGCGAACTCGACCCTGCGCGCGACGGTTGGCGGGTCGCATTACGTGCCGACGACTCCTGGCCACGAGAAATCCCGGTACGGCCCCGCGCTTGTTCTGGACGGCGTCCGTCTTCTGTCGACGTGTTTTGTCATGACGCGGTCGAAGCTGGTGTGTGGCGGGGGTTCGTGCGCTGCGATACTTGTGGAGCGCGGCCTCGGTGTGAACCTGTCCAGCGTCTTCTACATGGACAACTGCGCTGTCAATTCGCAGATGCACGTGATGTACGCTATTGCGTCGGGCCTGCGTGTTAGCGGCGGCTCCGTGTTCTCCATACAGAACAGCTCGTGGAGTGCGCCGAGTACCGAATACTACAAAGGCGCGTGTGTGTTTGGGGACGTTGTGGTGGCTGGCGGCAGCGTGCTGCAGGTTGTGTCCAGTGTGTTCCATCTCGGCTTTGCCATGGTCATGGCAACCACGCTGACTGTGACTGGCGGCAGCTGGCTGGTGCACCGCGACAACGAGTTCCGCACCGCCTACGTTGTGCACGTGGAAAGCGAGAATGGCGTGGCATTCCGTGATCAGAGTGTGTGGTCGATACTTCACAACGACTTTGGTTACGGCTCCTATTCGTCGATCACTGCATACATGACAAGTTTTTGGTCACCACCATCCGACTCGCGCCCGATCATCTACGGCACGTGCAACGAGGTAACGAGATCTCCTGTGACGAATTACAGAAGCGAGCTCAATATTAGGACACCCGTGACGGCATTGGACTGTGGCACGTGTACCGTGGACGCCGTGTGCTTTGCTGCGAGGACGAGCGGCATCAGCGGCTGTGGGTGTGTGTGCGCTGCTGGCGGCTACGGTGACACTTGTCTGCCAGCTGCGGTTCCGGACGGCCTTGGACCGTTCCCGCTTTCAGATACGGACGATACGGAGGTCCGCTGCGTTTACGGTGGCAGCATCAGCTCCGTGGACTATCCTGATCCCGGTTTGCGTGGCCTGTGCTTTGTCAAGGTGACCTTCACCGCCGCGATTGTGCTGGACCTGTGGAGCTTCGACGCGCCAGGAAAGACACTCAACATCACGCTGCTGCAGTGCGTCCTCATGGGCCTGTCGATCAAGGGGAGTGGTGCGAGCGTGCACTTGAGCGTGACATCCTCGATGCTGGATTCCGGTGAGTTGGAGTTTGAGGATGATTTTGGCGCGAGTTCCCAGATACTGGTGGCGGGCAGTAAGCTCTTGTCAGCGTCGAGCCATGCCATTCACTTTCCAAGGTTTACTTTGGGTGCGAACTCGACGCTGCTGCTGCTCGACAACAACATGGAGGGGGAGAGTTTCGCAGTTTATTTCCCCGTTCCTGTTGTTGTTGATGGGGGCGGGATCATTATTAAGGGAAATACGCTGAAGTCAACAAAGAGGGATTACAGCTCGGAGTCTGCCGTTTATCATAAAGATGTTGAATTAAAGAACGGCGGTCACATTGACGTCGAGAACAACACGATGAGCGCAGCCAGCGGCATTTATTTTCAGTTTTTGGTTTTTGTGAGCTCCGCGGGGCTGCTGAGAGTGGCGGACTGCACCTTCACTGGCAGCACGGAGGTATTCAATTCTGCTCTGGTGCAGTTGAGCGACTCGGTTACTCTTCAGGGTGGTGCGCAGTGGCGTGTGGAGGGCAACAACGTGAGCGCAGCCTCACTATTGAGTATGACGTTTTCCTGGTACACTATTGGACTGTCGGGCAGCGGCACCACCGTGTCGCTTGCACACAACCGTCAGGCGGACTCGAGTAGTGATTTTGCGAGAATTACTTCATCGAACTCGAATGTGGCGTCACCCGCGCGTTTTGTGGTTGGGTGCAACATGCAGGGCGAGAAGGAGGTGTCGTACGACGGCGTGTTTCCGGAGGACGTGGTGGTGTTCGGGTGCGGCACATGCAACGACGACGCGGCGTGCTACATGCCCGGTACGGAGTCGGTGGACCGCAGCTCGTGCTCGTGCAGCTGCAAGGGCGGATGGCATGGCGCGTCGTGTCTTCCCTTTGCGGTGCCCGACACGGTTGTGCCGCCCTTACCGGAGAGAGCCGTGGACGGCGACACGAGCTGCGTGGTGAACCAGACGCTGACGAGCCTCGCGCTGAACATGTGGAAGACGCACCACTGCTACGTGGGTGTGACATTCAGCGGCGTGGGTGCATTGCTGACGCTCTCCCTCAACAGTATGCCGCTGCATCTCCCCATCAACATCACGCTCACTGGGTGCACATTTCGTGACGGAGCCGCGCTGCAGTTTGTTGGGGGCACTGAGGTGGCCGAGTCAGCCGGCGTCCTGATCCGCGTGAGCCAGACGGTGATGCGGTCCTCCGTTGTTCTATTTAGGCGTGCCCTCCCGCAGCACTGCGACATCGCCGTCACTGAAGTCGACGCGGAGCAGTTGCCGAATTCTGTGAACCGCATGTTGATCGTCGTGAAGCTGGACGACGTTGTGTTGAGTGCGTCCTCGCTGTTGGTCAGCAACGTCAAGGCGCGTGCTTTGGGCTACGGTGGATATGGTTTGTACTCGATGGGGACGCTGACGCTGGTGGGCGGCAGCTCGCTGTACACGCGGTACTGCAGCTTTCATAAATACAAATACATGTTGTACATGTATAGGCTCATTGCCAGTGATCGCTCCGTTTTTGCGCTGCTCAACAATACGATGGCCACCGGGACAAGATTCCTTTATCAGTACCAAGACCTCACCGTGTCGAATCACAGC